GAGGTCTCTAAAAATTTTAACTTGTCTTCAAAAGATGCAATTTTTCCTTTTAATTCATTTTCTATAACTTGCATCTGGGCTCCCATATCTCTGTTTGGTCGAGGTTCTAAGTTGATTTCTTTGGATTTTTGTATGGTTGTATAGGTAGAATTGTGGCTAGGATAGTGATGATGTATGACTGGAATGGCATGTTCTTCCTCTTTAAAGGTTGAAAAAGCTTTGACCTTTTTATAGCTTAGTAGTCTTTCTATTGGTTATCTACCATGGGTGACTAGGTTGAGTACTTTTGAGGCTTTAGGTGATGTTATGCTTTAGAGCATATGATTTAGGGTTTGGATTTTTTCAATCAATGCTTGGTATTGTTCCATGATTGGTCTCACCTATGCCATGGTAGGTCGGTCCATAGCTTAGCTGTTATGGGTTTCGATCCTAACAAAGATGGTAGCTCTCTTTCTTTATTGGTTCTCTTTTTTGGATGGCATGGCATTTAGCTTGAATAAAAAATATATATCCCTTACCTAGCACACCAAATGTTTATGTTGAGCTTCAAGCTGAAGATAAGACCCTGAAATCACAAGAGAAAAAAAGAACAGTTAAGAGCAAAGGTAAGAGGTGTTTCTTGTATTTGCATTCTAACACTTAAGTTACAGGTTAGAATAATAAAGGTCAAAATGAGAGAATAATAGGAAAGTAAAGAAAAATATAAGATGAATAAATAGTTCCTGCATGGCTTTAATTATAAGCCAAAGGGAAAGGTCTAAAAGATAGAATAGTAACATAATCGAGCTGATGTGGCATTGTACATATCAGGTCGATCTGAGATGTCAAGTAAGCCCAAAAGTCAAAAATACCATTGATTGTTTGTTGGCAGTCTCTAATGAGGGAAAAATTCAATTTACCCTTTGGACCTAAAATACCCCTAACACCTTCCTCATAAAATTGCCTCACCATTTTCAACTATTCATTTTTCACCTCTCTTTTACACACCAATGACTCCCAACACAATTTGATCAAAAATTCCAAACCCCAAATGTAGCAAACTCCTATGAATCAAATACTACTACAACACTCCAAAATTCAACCTAAGACTACTTGTTTGTCTAATTTCTAGGTTTAAGGAGAGTGCAAGGATGATATTTGCTCTTTTTTTTTTCCTAACTTTTCAAACTTTGTGGTACGTATGTCTCTTTAACTTTTAGCATGTGACTTCCAAGATTATCTATATATTAGAATATTTTGGTTGGTGAGACTAATGTACTTACTAAGTCTTTTGGTTGACGTAGTGCATTATTGAGAAAAAAAACAACTTCAAACAGTCAAAAGAAAGATGCGAATCTTAGGCACCAAACAAATATCACTGGATTGTTTGTTATTTTTAAATTAAAATAAATGGGTAAATAAAAAATATCATTGACTTTTTTGTGTCCATCACATAATTAGACTTTATGCTTAATATATATGGGAATTATATGCCAATAAAGCTTTTATAGTATCTCATCTATGATATGCTTTTGAAAGCAAAGACTTAATGTATTTCTACATGTTTTATTTATCAAAATATAAACAAACACTAATATTAATATATATTAACTCATTATATTATAATTATGCTAATTTTTATTTGTGTTTAATAATAATAGCATCATAGCGTAATGTGAGTATAATCCTAATAAAAAAAGAAACAAAAAATATGTTCTATTTTTAAACAGAACTTACAAATTAGAAGAAAAAAATAGCAATAAAAATAAAATAGCGTATGAGTTTAAATGGGTTTTAAACTTGAGATAACTGTGTCACCTCTTTCATCTTTCTATGGCATTTGTCGTCATATTGTCACTTGCGCCAAAAGATAGCCCATACTAGCTTCAAGTTCTTCCTTTTTCTACAAGAAACTTATATGTCATTGTTTATTAAGACTTGAAACCAAAAAGAAAAAGCACTTTTGAGTTTCTCTCACAACTATCTCAAAGATTGTAATTAGAAAGAAGTTTAAAAAAACAAAAATAATAAAGAGAAAGAGAGAGTTGAAACTTGGAGTTAGAAGGAAAAGTGAAAATATAATAAAGAAAAAAGGATCATAATTGTTCAAAATCACAAAACCAAGATATGTAATGCAACTTTAATTGCGAAAAAATCAATTAAACTTTTTTTATCACATGCAAGAAACAAGAATCCATTAAACCAAAAATTTTTAATCAAATAAAAAATAAAACCCACCCACCATTTTTTATCCAAAATATTAAATATATTTTTAATTATGCATGAATCCATTAAAAACCCTTTTTCAAATCACATGCAAGAAGCAAGAACCCATTAAAAATTATTCTTTAATCAAATGTAAAAAACAAAACCAACCATGGTATTTTTTTTTCAATCAAATGTTAAGAAAAAAGCAACCTAGTACTGTCTAAGAAAGAAGAAGAAAAAATAGGTTCTCGAAATTGACTCAAGCTTTTTTCTATTCAAACGTAAAAAACAAAAGCAACACAATACCTATAGTCAGCGATGGAGAGAATGAAACATAGATGTCATTCAATAAAAATATAACAAGCTATCAAGCAAGGATAAACATGAGAGAGACTCATTTAAATAGATGCTAGTTGGCTATTTACGTTTCGCTACATGTATAAATTATAATTTTTAAAAATGAAAGTTAAATTTTATTATTTGTTTATTTTTGTTAGTAATTATTCTTTTATATTTTTAAATTAAAATTCTAAACCTTTTGATTGATTACCAAGCATTGTGTATATATCATGCAATTCATTCATTGAAAGTTTAGATGAAATTATTTTTCAAGCAAGCTAGAATAAACAACAAATGACAAAAATTCTATAAAATTAAATGAATATCTTTTGTTAAGCTTCAAATTGACAATAAAGAATGTCTCATAGTGCTATAAAAGTCACTTTTACACTTAAGAAATCTAATGCCTATAATACCAGTATCTTTTAATTGCTAATGGGTAATTTAGCTTAAAGATAATAGAGCCATTTTCAACACATTTTTGCAACAAATTGATAGGTTGATAAGTAGCCATCACGTTATTCCAACTCTAACGAAGAAGAATATACAACAATGATTCCTCCATTGGTAAAAAAGAATATATTCATTTATGCAAAAAAAAGGAAAAAATATAATTATATAGCATAGATATGTAGATACTATGTTATTGGTCATAAAAAGACCAAACAACCAAAATTATAATATGCAAACAATGAATCTATTTTTGTAATGATAGAACTTGTAGTCCTATCAAGCAAATAACATGTGGAGAAAATTGAAAAGTGAATTGCATACCTGAGATCAATACCCATAAATTGATGATTTAGCTTTATCCCATATGACCATACCTATAAAATGATATAAAGGCACAAATATAAAGATAACAGCTTAGTATTAGTTTTAGTTAGTTTAGGAATGAAAAAAAAAAAAAAAAAGAACAATTGACTTGGAATAAAAGCAAAGAACAACAAAATTGAATTTATCATTTCAAATGCAATAACATCAAAGTAAACTTGAGATCATTAGAATGAAAGAAAAGAATCACAAAGTTGACACTTGATATCAAATTAACAAAGCATGTAATCACTTATTTGAAGTAATATGTGTGTGCTTGAATAAGATAGTAATCTTTTTTGGGTAATATATAGAAAACAGAGTATTAATGGTTATTCTTAGTAAGTTTATGCTAAGTATAAGACTTTTTTTACCTAAAAGATCAACTATATGATAATGATTATCACTATTAAAATATAATCTTGGCTATGTATATTGCAATTATCTATACTTATCTTTCTTTTTTGGTGGGTTCATCAAAGATTTCAAAGAATAAAGTACACCAAAAGTATTAAAAGAATAAGAATAAAAAGGTAGAAATGAAATGTTGATCAATAAAATAAAAGAGCAAAGTTAAATAGCAATGAAATAATATAAATTAATTAGTCCTATGTTTAAGTTCAAGTTACTGTTTACATATGAATGTAATGATTCAACTTTGAATCAAAGATGTAAGCTTTTTATTCATAGTGGTGGTGTCAGTTATCCATTGCTTGCAGGTGTTATTTGAAGAAAATTCATGAATAAAGTGAAACATGTGGCATGCAAGTATTAGCTTCAGCCACATTACAAAAAAGAAAAGAAAACTAAACCTATGAATTCAGATTTCATAAAAAAAAATGATCCATGAAATTAATATTTTCATGATTTGAGATTAGATTTTATTTCAACATCTCTTTCATACTTCCACTTTCACCTTTAAACAAACAAAAAAAATCCAAGTTTGCTTTTTTCTTTTTTTCTATTTTGAAAAAAAAATGTTAGGAATAACTTAAAGTTAAAAAAGCATTAAAAATGGAACTTAAAGAGAGAAGCTAACATCAGCGGCCAAACTTTTGAGGTTAGAGTGACACGGAGTAGCATGAAGTCATCGCATTTAATTTGCAACCATAATGCCATGAATCCTTTGTATTTTTTAGGATTAGGTTTTAGTATTCAAATTTCAATTATTATTACTATTATTATTACAAATCAAACACATGTAAACCTAGAACACACCTCTATACACATGCATTTTGTTGTATGTGTCAAATTAAATTATGCAAACAAAACAAATTATAGGTAACAATCGAAATGAAATCTCTAATAATTTAGTTCCATGAAAAAAAATAAAGAAAAAACAAATATTCACCTAAGAAATATAGCAAAAGAGAAAAAAAAAAAAAAAGAGAAGAGAAAGCTGAAAAACATTGAAAAAAGAGAAGCAACAAATAAATCTAGCACCAAATAGAAAAAACAAATAAATGCAAAAAAAAAAAAAGATAAATCTGAGAAAACACTAAAGAGATAAGTAGTGATTTGTTATAAAGACATCTTTAACCTCCAAATCATAGTAACTATCAAAGCTGACCTTTTAAACTGCTGAACACTGTCCATTTTCAACACCGGTCCATTTTGGACACAAAAGGACATGTTAACGATTATTTTCGTATTTCAATACATCTCATTTTTGAGCGAAGGCCTTGGCGCTTCCATATAACAAATCCCAAATATTCAACCAACTCCAGAAGCCCAAACCTCTAAAAAATGGCCCTAGACATTTCCATTTTCGAAATCATAAATCCCTCCCGCTACCTCTCCTTCACCATCCCCAATCCCATTCTCAACCCCTCTCTCTCTTCCCCGCTCATTCGAATCGCCATCCTCGACTCACCCATCCACCCCACCACCCCCTCCTCCCCCTCCTCCTCCTCCTCCTCTCCTCCCACTCCCAATGTCGCCGCCATGTTCGTCCCCAAACACCGCGAGTCCGACTGGCTCTTCTCCACCGAGGCCGGCCACCTGCAACTCCTCCTCAGCTCCTCCAACATACAACGCCTCATATTAATCGGACAACAACCCATCATCAACGGCCCTGGTTCACATTCCGTCTACCGCCGTCCGATCGATTCCGATTCCCTAAACAACCTCGAAATGACGCTAAAGCCACTGGTAATTGCCTTATCTCCTAAAAATTACTTTAAAAATGGAAACGTGGAAGTACCCTTTTTGAGTTATGAAGATAATGTTATTTCTAGCTTAGTTTTAGAGAAATGTGTTGGGAATTTTGTTGGTGAAATGCTTGTTGAAGATGTTGAGATAGAGTCTAGTGATCAAGGAAGAGAATTTAGGAGGAGATTAAGGTTTAAAAGGATGCCTAATTTGATACAAACGGAGATTCGAATCGTGCCCAAGAGGGTTTTTTGTATGGATTCATTTGAAATAGGAGGCCATAATGTAGAGTTTAGCCATGATTTGGGGGTTTTGGTGCATGTTTATTTGGTGCCAATGGTGGCTAGTCTTACTTTGATTGGCTCGCGAATTGAAGAGCATGTTCAAGTTGGGTTAAGACCAAAAGCTTTGTGTCTTGGGGTTGGAGGTGGTGCTCTTGTTGGGTTTTTGAAAGCGCAATTGGGTTTCCATGTTGTTGGTGTTGAGATTGATGAGGAGGTGTTAAGGGTTGCATGGAAGTACTTTGGCTTGGAGGATGGAGACTTTATTCAGGCTTTTGTGGGAGATGGTATGGAGTTTATGGCGAAACTGGCACGTGGAGATGGTTGTCATGAAGGAGTCGGTCATCTAGATCCTCAGTTTGACGTTATTATGGTTGATTTGGATTCTGGTGATTTGATAAACGGTGTTAGTGCTCCCCCCTTGGAATTTGTTAGGAAGGATGTTTTCTTGGCTGCTAGATCAATTCTTTGTGAATCTGGCATTTTTGTTATTAATGTGATCCCCCCAAGTAGGTCATTCTATGAGACGTTGATACATGATTTTCAAGAGGTTTTCCCTGAGTTATATGAAATTGATGTTGGAAATGGAGAGAACTTTGTTCTCATCGCTAGGGCTTTGCCTACTGTATCTTTTATTAGTGATTGTGAAAATAATTTTCTTAAAAAACTGAGACTAGCAATTTCAGGAGCATATATGGATTCCATTAAGAGAATTTGAATGAAATGTGTAATAGAAACAATGAATATACTCGTTCAAATTGAGCAATATGAACTTTTCAGATTGAATACAAGGTTAACGTTTGCTTGACAGGGTAGGTCTGCTTGCACTCTTCTGACAGGAATTAGCTTCAAGGAAACTGAACTATCAGTATTAGGCATGCGTTAACATTTATGGTTTGACACTTTAAAATTCTTGGAGATTGACAAACAAGAAGCCCTTCCCTTTGGATTGAATTATGGAATCTTCTCCTTAAGATATGTGAGACTTACTCTATTTGCTCAGGTTTGAAACAAGAAGGTATGATTATTTTGTAGAGTTGTTGTAATGCTTTTTTGGAACTTATTCATTTTGAGATTTTTTTTGGACATGTTTCAAATTCTTAGGAAACTGCCAGACGCTCAGTTCATTTTGGTTTGGATTCATCAATAACGAAAACTTATCCAAACCCTAACTTATCTAAATTACAGACAAATTTGTGTAAAATAGTTGTGTACTTTGATGACATTATAGACTACGAAAACACATTAGAAAAACTAGGTATTTATATTTTAATGTCTATATCATGAATTATTTACTTTTAATGCATGTACCCATGATACAATTATAAGAAAAAACCCTAAACTTAATGGAATTTCGATTTACACAATTACTAACTATAGTAATAATCTGTATTTATGTATTATTACATATGAAAATGTTTAAATTTTTTCAAGCTTCTTAAAAAATGATAGTTAAATTGAAACAAAGTGATCTTGGTTTGAGTTCTTTATGCGGACAGTTCATTCAATTATAAGTGTCACATGCTCAAATTCTTATTGAAATCAGTACATGATTCGATTTAAGTTGTTTGCCCTGTAACACAACTATGTCAAATCATGAGCAACCTGACTGTTAGGAAAACAAGTTTCATCTTGTTTTCGTTACATTTGGAAGAAAAATTGTATACAAAGCATGCATCTTGACTATCCATAAAGTGGATCTCGTGTATGTTTGGCCAGCACTTATGAATAGTAGATTCTATAAGTATGAAACTATAGTTGTAGAGTTATAATTCCATGTCAAACTAGTTTATATGTGAAGTTTGTTGTTTTTTGTTTGACAAGCTCAAAATGTTTAGCATTCTCTTTTCTTGGGTCGATATGTTCCATCAGAATGTTGAGGTCTACTAGCATTCTTTTCTTTTAAATAGTAGTATTTATGTTCCTTGATTAATTGATTATGGTTCAAAATATGTCTTGATTAGTTACTATATGCACTAAAATTAAAAACATTATTCTGTAATTTTCCAAAATCTGATCTATTACATGCAGTGAAACTACTGCAGTTGAAGTTTCTTGTCAATTATCTGATGTTTCATGTATACTCCAAAGACAAATTGCCTTCACTGTGTAAGATATTTATAGGCACGAGTTTGTATTGCACATGCAACATACACATTAACCATATTATTGGATATTAATTACTTTTGTGACAATAGTTCAGTTTACAAATTATTTTAGTAAAATTAAATTCTAATACTACTACTATTTATGAACACTAATTACTAGTGAAATTAAATTATTTCTTAAATGGTAATTTTCTTTGTGGCTCAATTGGGTGTGTAATTGAGTCAAATCGAGTCAATGCAATGCTAGGCTTGAGCTTGGCTTGACTTGAAAGCTCAAGACTTGAAGCTCAATTTAGGCTCGATCAAGCTTCATTTTTCATATTGAAACGCGGTTTGTAATTTAATTAAGCCATTTGAACTTGACTCGATAAAAATGTAAATATTGACATTAAATACTATATTTTCATTATTTATATATATTAAAAATATTAAAAAATAAAAATTTGATTAGGATCGTTAGCTTATTGAGTCATGTATTAAATTATTCGAATTTGACTCGAGCTTGAGCTCAGTTCAAAAATGAAAGAGTCAAATTCGCGTTTTTTCTGAATGAAGCATGAATAGTTAAGGAGTAGCTTGATTTGTTTACATCCTAGACTTGAGTAGTTTGACTTGTTTACACCTCTAGTCTCAAGAAATACTGCTATATCTGTTCTTTTTACATGCTGAATAATAGTCTCTATCTAGATGTGCTCAAATGCTCCGAAATCTATTCCCCTGCTTTTTCCTATAACCATTTCTTTGCTTCTCTACGTATCTTCCTCAATGTTTGCCAAAATTTTTCCATGGCTGAATCTCTCGAAAATGCAGACTTTGTTTCCCAATAATCTTCATATAAAATGTGAACTGTAAATTAGAAAAGCCTAAACTCAAAAACTTTGAATAGCATAGTGTGTTGCTGCGGTCACCACCTCCTCCACCTCCAAATATTGTGTTGTTGCTAATGATGTCAAACAAAACCGGTAAAAGGTTGAAATTGGTCGGTTTTGGGGTTTTAGGGCCAAACATTTTGATATTTTGATAATCTTATCACAATCTTGTTATATTACAAAGATCCTTAAAAGGTTCAAACATTTTGATAATGTAACAACTGCAACACCATATGATCTGAATTTGAAGGTAATATCAAATAAAAGAATGGCAGTTGCACACTTGAATATGGAAAAGTAATTTGTTGTTTGATTATTCAATTACTTGCACAAGAGCATATATAGCTTTTACTGTTAGCAACTTAGTAGATTTATAAATAACCAAGTAACTTGCATTGGAATGCCATATTTAGAGTACTCAAATACTTTTAAAAAAGTGGTATTATTAGCTTATATTGGATAACTTTTAGTTTTAGAATGATGATATAAGTTGGATAAGTAAACATGAAGGATCATTCATCCATAAGTGGATGGATATTAATGATTGGTGGAGGTTTGATTTCTTGGGGATCCAAGAAACATATATGTATAATCGATTTTATTGTGGTTTCAAAATTTGTTGCTTTGGCATGGCATTGACAAGTAAGGAAGCGAAATGGTTGAAAAACCTATTATACGAAATTCTTTTGTGGCCAAATTGTTGTCACCTATATCAATTCATTGTGATAATAAATCTACACTATTGAAGGCTTATAACCAAGTTTACAATGAGAAGTCATGACATATTGGTGGAAGACATAGTGATGGTAGACAACTTATAAGAGATGTGATGATCATCATAGATTTTGTCTAGTCAAATTGAAAATTGGTGGATCCATGGACAAAAGGACTTATAAGGAATATGGTGTCTAAAACTTCTCAATGGATGGGATTTAAGTCCATTAAATAATATCATACATAATGAAACCTCAACTCAACACTTAGTTGGAAATTAAATCTTGAGTTTTAATAAGTACCTCATTTGAATGTGATATCAAGTACTTACAATAATATTCATCGCAAGGTTGACAATTACTTGGAACCGTATGTATAAAGAGGAGGTTGAGTACAAAACTCTTAATGAACTCATAACATGTAAATATAATGCTGGAATGCTTATTCCATAGCATTTTTGATGGAGTTCATATAGATGAGTGAAAGTGGTGCCATTTTTAAGAGGTAAGGGCTTGGCTCTGAAGCACTCTTGAAAGGTGACAAGATAGATGGCCAATAATAGTATGAAGTATGGTATGAAGTATTGCTAAAAGAAATTTGGTGAGGTTTGACAATTTGTGTGTGATTTAATGCATGAGTAATGTATAGATTGGTTCCAAGATCTATTATTTAGCATATAATTTTGATTAGATCAATAATTCTATATCACTAAATAGAAGGTTTTAAGTCAGGATTGATAACTTGCTTAGTTTTGAAAATGATTGGGATTGTTAGAAATATTTTCAAAATGGTAAAAGATTGTTGATTAAATGATATACTAAGGGAACGAGAAACCAAGTAAACAAAGTTAGGATAAGCTGTGGAAAGGTTCCATAACCAATGAAATAAAATAAAGACTAAAAATATTAATAGGTGAAGACCACCTATAAGAGCAGTCGACTGGCATGACTTTCAGGAAAGAAAAATGTTTTTGTCAAGAAAATATATTAGGATAGTCGAATGCCTGGTTCAAGGCAGTTGACTGCCATGACCTAGAAAGAGTTTTTGTTTTAAGAATACACCTAGACAATCGGATGCATATTTAGATTACTCGACCGCTTTAATGACAAAAATTATTCTGGAGCAAATATTACACAAAGGCAGTCGATTTTGTGTGTAGGAAAATCGACTATTCTAGTTCAAAAGTTGTGTTTTTACTGCTTTAATGACAAAAATTATTCTGGAACAAATATTAGACTAAGGCAGTCGAATGTCTGCGTAGGAAAATCGTCTATTCTAGTTCAAAACGTTGTGTTTTTATAACTATGAAAAGAGATTTTTCTTAAAATAAGATATTATAATTTACAAAGTGATATTTCACTTGTCAAAGGTGAACAATTGCAACTTTTAAGTTTCCACAGATGTGTTCTTGATTGGAAGCCAAGATTGTTGATTGATCAAAACAATTAAATGGCACAATCCTTGAATTAAATCTCTATAAATAGAGATGGTAGAGCACAATTTGGAGATACATACAAAAAGTCAAGAATACTTCTCTCTATCACTCTTAAAAGAGAAACAATTTTATTACATATTGCTTGTTGTGGAAAATCTTGTTTAAGAAAAAATATTTTTGATCTCACGTCAAAGGTGTTGAAGGGTTTGATCTCACAAGCGCAAGGCGATATAAAAAAAGCTTCATTGAATCCCAAGGCTTTTTGGTCCAACCCCTATTGCTTATTGTTACTGATAGGGACGAAATAGGGTATTTACAGTACACCTTGAACCATTTCCTTTTAATATTGAAGACTATTTGGAACCTATGCAAGACTTAAAAGACTGGTCAACCACCTGTGCAAGGTGTTTATTTCTTTTTCAGTGTTTTATACAACAAATTTTCTAATAGTAATCCTAGTTAGGTAATAATTCTATATTTTATAAAATTATCTTAAACTTTATTGAATGAATTTCATCATTTTGAACCTAATTTTAGCTTATTCTTTAGCAAATTCTTGTAAATTCTCTTACACTTGTTTATTTTGTCTTTTGTGTAAGTTACTAATTAAAAAATGCAAATCAAGGTAAAAAATGGAAGAAGAGATGCCATGAAGACCTAGCCATGAGCAGAGGAGTGCTGCATGTTGCACGCTGTGTTTATGCATGATGAAAATGCTGAGTTGTTGCCAAGTTAATATGAGCTGCGTGTAATAAAGAAAGCCATGT